TGTAACGTATAAATATCGTTAGACGTTATTTTGGACATCAATTGATTCATGGAAGTAAAACGAAATTTTTGAAATTACTTGATTTATTTATATAGTTGTAAAACATTTTTTTTAGACATAATATCCACCCTATCTTTAATAGTTATCCAAAAGTAGAACTAATTCAAATTTATTATTATTTATACTGTACAGAAATCGTTAAAGGAAATCATAATAATATTGAAAATTTTTTTCTTTATTAGGGAGATTGGGGGGTGGAAAAATATTCGTTACCCCCATCCTCAAATTTTTAAATACACCACTGATTGAGTCCTCCGTGCTTGTGAATAAAACAATCTACTGAAACATTAGTTTATTCTTGTCAGTAGATTTTGGATTAGAAATTCAAATACACTTTTCGTCCATTAATTAACAGCTATGTGTGTATACCTATTTTTGATCATGAAAAGTAAAATACATTTAAAACCATTTTATTTAAACATTTTATAAAATCAAATTATTTCAATACTTTTCAATATAAAATTTATATTGTAATTATATTTAATACAAAAGAACCTCGATTATCTGAAACCTCCATTATAGGTACTATTAATTTTAAGTATTTTTAATGTTCATGAATTTCTGTATCTGATTTATTGATACTGTATTTGTATTGTGCTAATATTATAAATATAAATACAAAAATATTCAATTTTTCATTTCGCTGTCGTACCACAATGGACGTGAAAAAAAATAATATGTATAAATATTATCCAAACTGCAATTGGTGTTTTCTAACGTCCATATTATCGAACGGTTTACCGATTTTATTATAATTTTTAATTTATTATTTACGCATTATATACATATATATGTATGAATGTTTTGTAGAATAATGTCGATAAAATATGTCAAATATATGTTAGTATTATTTCTAAATAATTTTATTAAAATATAATAATAATATATGTGTAATAATATAATTTGAATGGTTTTATTTATTTTTTTTGAGATAAGCACAATTATTATACTATTGAATATAAATATATCAAAATGTAAAATTTACACTATATGTATGTACATGTTTATTAAACAATTTTAAATATTCGATTAGTCCGGGTGATCGAGGTTCTACTTAATGAAACAAAAAAATATTTTTAACACCGTTTTCTCCAGTATCACAAGACATTAATACAGCATACGAAATTTATTGAGAAAAAATAATTGAGATGAAACTATTATTTGTACCTATGCATCCATAACAGAATGATAATTTATAAATTATTCTGGTTAATTAAACCCCGGTGAAAAGATTTTAACTATTACAAAACTCTTTTAGAGAAATTTTAATTATAACCTTAACTTACGTGGTGAAAACAGCTTTTTTAGAATAATAATAATTATGTATTATTACCATGTTGTATAAACCATCTATCTACAATGATAGAAAATACACGTAGATTTTAATGCATAGAAAATATGTAAATATTATATACTTTTTTGTTATGACGTCGATTATTTAGCGTTATGGCTTTTAAACACACTTTGTTCTATTATCAAATACTTAATAAATGAATGGTTTGCTTTTTTTTAAGAAATAATTTTACCATATAATAATAACATTAAAATTCTCTATGTGACCATAATTATTATTTAACTATAATAGCTAACAAGAAAGTATATATTACATTCGACATGCATAGTAAAATTATATTCGCATACAGTATATAATAACTATCGAGCAAAATACCTCTTAAAATTTTAATTTTATCTTCGTAAGTATTACTATAAAAAATATTTTTTAATAAAATAATAATAGTTTTATTAAATAAAAATATATCATAAAGAATACCTGTATTATTTTCAATTAAATTTGAACCATCACAGTTATTAATAGTTTTATAACTATCAAGCATATTTGATGTACGTTATTTGAACACGAAAAATGTATGTTAAATAAAAAATATTAAAAAAATGTAATAACTTACAGTGTTAAACATATATTTTTTATGAAACTATAAAGCTAAAAATAAAAAATTGTGGCATGATTAAAAATATTTGTCACTTTAGAAAAGTAATATATTTTTTTTTGTGGTATTTAAGTAATTGCAAAATTACCAAAACTAGAAAAATATACGACCTACACCAATGATTAGATGGCCTCTAGGTTTTAAGCTTTTAAATAAAATGTAATGTCTTAAAATCTTTGATAGTTAAAAGAAAAAAAAAACAACTAGAATCATTTTTTATGTGATCATTTACCACTACTTTCTAAATTTAAGGCACCTATTCAAACCTGTATTTCATTCAAAACCTGTATTTAATATTTTATTTTATTTTTATATTGGAGGAAGATAGTACATATTGAAAATATACGTAATTTAACGGTAAAATATTTAGTATACAAAAAAAAAAACCCATACCAAAAAATGTATTGAATATATAAGTCTACATATAGATAATAATTGACTGCACAATTATTTTGACTCTTAACGTATAATCGTAAATTTATTTCAACTCCTAATTTTTCATTAATTTATTTTATTATATATTTCTGGTTAACATTAAATTATTAATAAAAACCACTAACATTTTAATTTTACCATTACATTCCACTTTCTATTGGTTTTTGTTACTTTTAATAATGTTAAACTAATCGTATTTTATTATACTTGCACTTAATACGTTTCTCAATATAAACTTATACTATAAAAAAAATACATAATCATACATCAATTGCCCTTTTTATAGATTTTTTTTTTATTAGGTCTTTGAATTTCATGCATAATGAATGCTACTTAGGAGTGGAAGGTGATTGTTTTCATAAATTTCTTTAAATGGATCAAAATAATTTTCAATTAATTTATATATATTTATAAAAAACATGTTTCAAAAATGTTCAATACATTACATTATCATGGGAATAGATATTTTAATATCTAAAATAATTTTTATTGTATTTTGATAGTTGTAGGCATTTATAAACAGGATGGTTTAAAAATTAAGTTTAAAATGTGTGAAACTATTTGAACGTATTATGACTCGTAATATGTTTCCATCTACATTCTAAGGAATTTGACTATTTGTAAAAGATATTCTAAAAGAGTGTTGGTATATTTATTTTACTGTACGTTAGTATACAGCAGTAACCAGTAAAACTAAATAGACTTCGATGATTGTAAAAAAACAATTTATGATTTTTATTCTATATATTGATTTGCAAAAACAATATGTATCTAGTAAAAAAAATGTACGAATATAATATATATAGAAAATGTTCTCATAATTTGATAATTATCATCCTACTTCGCATTTAATATTTTTAATTTAAAATGTATTTCAGACAACCTGTTTTTCAAAAAAAAAAAAAAAGAAAAATGAATATTATGATATCTAATAATAAGCCCATAACAATTACAGCACAAAATTATATCGTTAAAGTTATCGATAAGGCTGGGCAAATTAAAATTTTTTTTAAACTCGTTAAGTTAAAAGTTAACTTTGAAAAAAAAGTAACTTAACTTAATTTAAAGTTAAAATTTCTAATTTGCAAAAATAAAAAATTGCACACATAATACTAGTTTTTTTACGCTCAAGAAAATTACTGGGGAAATTTAAAATGATACATAAAAGTATTAACTAGCTATCAAAAAATCTACTTTTTTAAAATAAATTTTAGTCCTGAACTCATACTCAAATCAATTTACAATTTTAATAATGAAATTAAATTGGAAATTATACCACAGTTGTTTTGTCATAATCCCTCATCGATACTCGCTCTCATGGTATTTACTGTTTTCACATAATATTCTTAGGATTTCCATGAGTTTATAGTGTTTATGCAATAACAATGTTATAAAAATATAATGATAAAATATAGCCCATATAATGACTATTAAAGTTATTTTCATATATTTTTCGTCTACAGGAAATTCATATTAAAATACTAAATTATAAATATACTAAAAACCTCATTTAATAATTTTCATTATTCTTTGCACTAAAATTAACTTAATTTAGATACTTTTAAATTATATAAAATAAGTTAACAAGTTAATCTTAAAAAGAAAATTAACTTATTAAGTTAAAACTTAATTTGTAAAAAAAGTAACTTAACGTTTTAACTTAATTTTAACTTTTAACTCGTTAATGCTCAGTCTTGGTTATCGAAAAATTCAAATTTATGTAATTTTCGCATTTCCTTTATTTCCAACTATTGTTTCATATTATTTTCGAACAAAAATAAAAAGCCATGTTATTAGGAATATATAAAATTGTGTGACTAAACTTTATAAAAACATGGATTGAGAGGAATTCGAGGTACTTAACTTTTTTTTTTATAATATAACATAGATATGCATCAACGTTACACACGCAGTAGGTACTCCTTAACTATAATAACTGTCGCCTACGGTATACTTTAAATAAAATGTGTTGCTTATTAAAGCACAGCTGGACTCGCGGTACTTCGTGACATGCGAATCCCATGCATTATTAAAATTTGAAAAAACCCAACAAACACAATTACGTTGTCTTTAAATATTCATTGAATAGCGTACCCAAAAATAAATTAATAAATATAAGTTTTCAAAAAGCAAAGACGGGGACACACGGATTGGGTTTGGAATTTTGTCATCTGGTATTATAGACATTGCAGTTACAACTACTCTTTAGAGAAGTACACTGTTATTACTATGCAAAACCAAAAATGAAGAGTATATTTTAATTTTTAATGTTTCACGCTGTTTGGATGTTTTATAATACACTGATTTTATGTAATATGGATTCCCATTTATAAAAATATGTAATATAGAATTTTTATTTATCTCAAAGGCCTCAAATACATATTTTATTAGCCTACAATAGCCAACGCTTAAAGTTACATTTCGTGTACGAACATTTTTTTTTTTATAGTTGTGTATGATATTGTTGATCCATTATACTATATGTTCGCTGTGAATTCGGGTATTTTACTATCTTAATAAGTTCTGTTGTTATTTTTTTCTTACCTAGGGTCGATTGCTTCTTTGGTTTGATGGTGTTAAACTTTGATTTTGTTCGACCGTTTTGATAAGTGGCACGTTTTAAGAATATGTATTTAACAGCGATTTCACAGAGGCACGTTTCACATCAGACTCCTTACAAATTAGGTGAGCATGCTAATATAGAGTTTGTTTAAGGTTGTATGATAATATTTTTCATTCAATATTTGTACATTAGAAAAGTAACTTCATATATAGTTTATAATGTTCATAAAACTTTTATTAGTTTTCACTCCATGTTATTTTACAGTTTTGATAGATGAGTTTTCGTGTAAAGCGATATTACTTATATAGTAAATTATTATCCAGTTGAAAGTTTTTAAAGCCAAATATCACATTAAAATTAATTTTAATTTATGTTTGAGGTAGAGGTAAATAATTGGTTGTAGTAAATTTATTGGAAAATATGCAAAATTAAAGAAAAAAAAACATACAATTGCGTTATTTTTGGATTCTATAAAATATTATGCACATGATTAATATCCATACCATAAGATTAAAACATCTTTACTCCATATATACAAATATTTCAGTACTCGATATCATAGATAATATTTACTCGTATGTCATTGCGTAGTTGATTCCAATAATATTTTATAAAATATAACCATACATAGTTACATCTAAAAAGTAGTCAAAACTTATTTCTTGTTTATTCGTTTATTTGACTGTTCGTATATTCATAATAAAACACATCTGATAAGAATAAATTAACTAATTCAATTTTTACGTGATTATTATTTTTCATAAAAAAAATGTATTTTTATCTACATTTTTATTTTATATAAGTATATGATTTACAAATCATTAGTTATGTAGTAATAGGTTAATAGTATAGATGCACAAATGTTGTCTACGAGGATAAGGGGACCATATTTGTAAAGATAATGGAAAACTGTATTATATTATTTCCAGAGCAGTAGTGTCTTTGAATTTCGTTAATTCAATGTATGGGATTTATACAACACATTTTATTTTCTTCGAATAACTACAGTAATGATCTGTTTAGATACACCATGAAGTACAAACATATAATAAAATATATGTACAAAGAGAGCGCCATACGTCAAATGTTTCAAACTAAATTGAATCTGGCATGAAAATTTGATGTTTACTACTAATAAGACATAGAATAAAGGGTAAAGATGAAGTTTAAAGTCCTTTCAAACATTTGTATTCAACAAAGTTTTTGTAGTTGGTTTAACTTCTTGAGTTATAAAATTAGTATATATTATTATATACATGTTCTGCTTATCAAATAATACTATAATATCAATATAGCATCGCGATTATGAGTACATAAGCGATGCCATCGAATATTAGTATCTGCTGTTGAATAATTATGATTTGCAGACAAAATAAAATATAATTTTTTTATTAATTGAACAACCCGATTAAATATAAATAAATGTAAAAAAAAAATAAATTACAATTATATAAAGTAAAAGGAATTGATTAGAATTTGGTTTAAATTTTATTTTGCATTATTTATGAAATCTGTAGAAATTTTTTTTAGCGATTACAAGAAAAAATAATTCTGCATTTTTAAATTATTATAGTATAATAACATATTTTAATTAAAATACAATTATTCGACAAGAGATTATTACCTAATAAAAAGAAGTTTTATGAAAAATGAATATACCTAGTATTTATATTATAATATATGTATGTAATTCATGTAAGAAGATAAATACTAATGTACAAATTAAAATACACACACTATATTCTTTCTTATATACAATATAATACAATTTATGACATCAAATATGACTTGTTGATTACCTACCTTATTTAAATGGAAATAAGTTGTAGTATATACACAAATACAATCATATAAATAATATAATGATTTTTAGAGTAGATCAAATTATACTTTGAGCAATTATACTACAACTACGTTAGAACGTCAAGCTTAGTTTAGTTTTTTTTTTGATTGTCTGAGATTGCGGTAATGAAGGGAATTATAGTGTACATATATTTAAATTTAATTATAATTAATTAATAATACAATTGATTTATGAAATAATTTTATTTTTTTTTTACCACTCTATGTACTATAAAATTATAAACTTAAACTTTTTTCATTATACAATACATTATTCGTATATTTTTCCGTGAAAGTGTTATCGTTTAAAATATTTTTTCTTACATAAATCGACAAAGAGTTAAAGTGCACAAGATCAATGAACATCTATCCAAAATTTGTACTTTTGCAAATCACTTCAATGATATCAGACAATCATTTATCTCTCGTGGGTTTATCGTTCTGTTCGTAAATGAAAAAAACTTTATACTTTTTAATTGGTGTTTTTTTTTTTCATTTTCTCTTGACAAGCAATTCAAGTGGAAGCGCGTTCAATTGTCGACTGTCATTGTTTGATCGTATGTTTTTGTTGTGTTTGGTTCAGCTGCTAGCGTAAACGTTTGCGTGTCCACCGATCGCCCGTACACATTCAGGACCACGTTACGATGGGCGCGTACTTGATGACGTTGGCGTTGGAAGCGTTGGCGTTCGCGGTTTTCGTCGCCCTAGCAGCCGTGGTGCCATACGTTCGGCGGAAACGTGGATACTGGACCAGCCGTGGCGTGACGGTGGCCACGGGAGCGCGGGCGCTGGCCGCCACGGTGCCGGGCATCCGACTGGACGAAAAATCGCTGGCGCGGTACCGGGACAAGGCGGCGGCGGCCACTCTGGTGGGACTGCACGATGCGGGCCGTCCATGCGCGCTGGCGTGCGATGTGCGCGTGGCCGCGGCCGCGCTGGGTAACGACGGTTTCATCGAGCCGCTCGGCCGCACCGGTGCCGGCAGCCTGATACCACGTGTAGTGAACGCAGAGACCGTCACTGCGATGCTACCAGCTATGTGCGAAGCCGTGACCGAGCTGATCACTTCATTGGAGGCGCTGGCCAACCTGCGGCAGACCATCGGGCCGTGGACGTACGCAAAAAAATGCTCGATTACCACGGTGGCCACGTGCGTGTACGGTCAACCGATGATCGACTCACGCGTGAATGCGTTCGCGGAACAGTGCGACAAGGCGCTGCAGCGACCGGCCGTCACGGACTACTTTACCACGTACGACCTGTCGTCCATCAGCGGCAGGGGCGCGTCGTCAACCGACTTCAAACAATTGCTGAGAGAAGCTGCCGCAGCGGACCAAAACGAATCGTCCGGTAAGTTCTCGTGGATTTTCGCATTATCGTGTAACAATTTTACTTGAAATGCCAATGAAAATAATTACGAAAATGGGTTTCTCATTCGATCACCATCACTTCGGGGCAATCTTATTGTGAGCAACTGCGATCCGCAATCCGATTTAAAAATCTTTTAAACGAATTCCGGATTTCGAATACCGAAGTTCTGTCCCGTGAAAATGTACACGAATTGCGTCCCACTATCGTCCACTCAGTCACTATTAAATCGGTCAGGCAGCATAATTTTTTTCGGGTTCCAAGTGTTCTCAGTGAATTTTTGGACGATTTGTTCTTCGAATTATTTCTTTGATTCAGGCTCAACATTTACAAGTTAAATTGTTGTTAATAGAATATGAAATTTTACTAATATAATAATCAGGTGAATCTTTAATATTTGTGTTTTTTTTTTTTTTTTTAATCTAAAGCCAGATCCATTTAGAATTGACTTTTGTTTAGTTCTTTTCTAACACCTGTCTGTGTTTTGAAAGTTACACTTGTCTTTTATTTAATTTTTCACTAGGTATGTACCCGACAAAAAGCCCAGTTCAGTATTCACAGTGACACGTAATTTTATTTCGTTGTAAAATGATCCACAAAAAATTTAAAATATGTATCTCACATATAATGGATTCCTTAAATACCGATTTAGGGAGGGGCAATTGCCTCTTCAACCCCCCCTAAAATACGCCCCTGTTCTTGGCCGATTAGCAATAGTACACATGCGGTCGTTTTTCGTCATCATGGACAATAAAAACTATACTTTAACTGCTATCGATTTACATAAATAATATAATAGTTATCAGTTATACGTATGTTAAGTATTTAATTTCGTACTGTTCTAAATCTTCCAAACTGATATGAAATGTTAATTATATTCGATACATCATAATTTTATTAATTTTTTTAATATTTTAAGAACCACTGATATAAATACGCAGGACGTAATTCGTGTGTAACTTTTCTACGAGACGCAACTCATGTGTTTGTTCGTCCCCTTGAATTTAATCAACGCGCCAATTCAATTTTATTAATTTTTATTTAGGTGTTGCAATACTTTTGTAAACATCTCAAATAAACTAAATAAATTAAGAAAATTAAGTGGATGCCACACCCGTGTGCGTTTTTTTCCGCCCTACAAGCCTAAAGGATGGTAAAACTGCGTTCAGTAGAATTCGTTTTGGATTATTAGCGTTAATAATAGAGTAAACCCACTAATTATCAAAATTGAACGGAAAATTATTATCTGGGTCTTCTCGTAGGTTTTTTACAATATTTCAAATATTAATTATGTAAAATATAATTACTTAAAAAAGTTTAGAACTTATTTAAAAAATAAAAAATCGTAAAAAAAATTATTAAAGATATAGATAATGCTCTTCCCTTTAATTTTGATGGATGGTATTAACAATACACAATTAGTTATACTTGACGCAAGTTTGCAATGTTTTTTTCATTTGTAAGATGAAAAAATAACGCATGCGGGTGTAGCGTCATTTTTATCGTATGCATTTTTAGAAAAAATCTGATTCTATCCAAGAATCTGGATTGTCAGATAAATAAAGATCGACAAATTAATCAAAAAATCCAAATAAAACGAACCATGGTATTTTATTTGATATGGATTGCCTGCACAGCACTATGAAAAATTTAACTTGAGTTAATTTTATATATTATAACCAAAATCACACTAATAGATAAAATATTTAACCGAAGTCGCAATGATATTATAAAGAGACTGTATCGAGCGTAACGCGAAATCAAAACAACATTTTTCTATTTTAAAAAATCCATTTTTTTTTTCCATTGAATGTTATTAGTAGTTTGATTGATTTAACTAGAAGCGTATATATATACCTACGCCATATATATATGGTTAGCCGTCACAGCCACTACGCTACAGGCAATAGGTTATAATATTAAGAAATTTAATGATATTTAGGTACATTTTCAGTAATATTTCATTTAAATTAGTATTTTATTGTTACGAGCCTACATAAAAAAAAAAAAAAAAAATAAAAATAAAAATGAAAAGAGAATACCGGGATAGCATATGTGCCTCTGTTTCATGTTTGAGGTCGTGATCGTGCGTGAGTGGTGATAGGACGTGGTTAGCGGTAGAGATTCACGGATAACAGATTGGCTCATTTAAACGACGCGCGAACTCATACAACGCTCTAACGCGACACACCCCCGCTCACGACCATCGCGAAAACTGCACCCTCGATCCGTCGCGGCCGGGCGTATAACTTTTATATAAATGGTCGGCGCCAGAAATTTTAATCCGTCGCCAGCACTACAGAGCAGCCGTTGTTCCTCCGATGAATACTCACGGGGAATTAATGATCCCCGCTACTACTTTCACCTTTATAAACGCGCGCGCACTCGCGTACTCGGTAGGCGACGGTGTGAAACTTTTCCGCGTCCAAGACCGAGAGAATTTTACCGGATTTTGGAAAATTAACGTCGTCACAATCTACACCGCACGCAGTTAGGTCGTCGATTGTCCTCGTGGCAGTTGAAGTTTTCAAATTATTTTGCCGTTACGGTGAACAATACACGCTCAAAATTTTAATATTTTAACACGTGGTTCGGTACTATTTGTCTACGGCACCACTAAATCATGTAACATATACGATGTATGTATTTCGGTAAACCTTAAGTATGACGGTTCAGCAGACGTCTAATCGGAATCTTGAAAAGAATGACAGTCGAATTTGGTTATTTTTGGTTTTTTAACGTTACATGAATTCTTCAAAATTTATCAGTTCTTAGTAGTGATGAAAAATAAATCTGGATTCTCCGAATATCCGAAAAACCTGGATTTTGGATTTCAGGCTATAAAATCCAAAAATCTGGGTTTTAAAATTAATATTATGGATGTTTAAAATGTTGCTGATTACCATCATGATTGAAAAAATTCACACAATCCTTAAAAAATCAGATAAAAAAAATCTGCATTTAAGTAAAATAACCTTATAAACTTTAATAAAATGCTTCTAACATTGCAGTCCTATAACATTGTCATAATCAAGTGCATATAAATTAAAACTTAAAAAACGCATAGACTTAATTTTTAATCATAGTTCCCAAAATTAAGAAATCATCAATCAAATATAAAAAAGCACTAACTACACTTAGTTAATAATTTAACAGTATTAATCACAATATAACAATTTTGTTTTCATTTTTGTATATAATTTGAGATTGAATTGAAGAACCTATATTGCAATTTTGATAAATTGTTGACTTTATTCGTCCATTTAAAATCTAATTATATTTGTGCCTACTTTTTGAATTCTATTAATTTTAAATATTTTATTAATATTAAATAAATTATTTTAATTTAAAAAACTGTGTATTTGGTATTTATTACTTAAAAAAAAAATAATGCATTACAGCACATAATAATCCTGATTCAAAATTTCATAATCCGAAATCGGAGTCCAGAGAATAATTTGCATTTTAGAATATAGAATTCAAATTAACAATATAATGTGGATTTCGGATTAAAAAAAAAAAAAACCAGATTTTCAAACCTCAACAAATTCGGATTTTTCTCTTCGTTAGCTCTTATTATCGATCAGTTAAAATTTTCAATTGTTTTAACAATTCATAAAACTAAAATAAATTAATTTATAATCATAAGCAATTTAGGTGTTCACGCAATGGGTACGAAAGCAAATAATAAATAAACAGTTTCAATAGTTTAGTGTTTCTGTTATTATATGTTTTACCTTCTTCCTTTTATTAAATTTATAATTCTTATAGCAAACGATTTATATTTGTATCAATTATTAAATTTTTATTAAATTTAAATTAAATTTTAAACATGATTTTATTTACATTAATATTATGAGTTTAAATAAGCACAACAATTTAATACTATACAATTGGTATGAATAATAATTATAATTTAAATATATCTAGCAACATTAGACATACTCATAAAATATCACATTTATAGATTGGTATGTGTTCAATTATTATTATTTTTTGCTTTAATTCAATAGATATTTTAGCAAGACAATTATGTTTTTTGTGAAAAAATAATTATTAAAAATTAATTATGATACAAGAAAATATGTTTGAAATTTAAATTATACAATACAATGTATATTACAATAATTTAAAGGCAGAAATTTCAATTGAAGATGAAATTATGGAAAAGAAATGATAATTGAGAAGAAAGATTACATCGGGGAAAGAGTAGCCAAGAGAGAAGAGTTAGCAGAATAATGAGCCATGGAGAATAGTATAAGGGCATGATAACATAATGTGATGTAAGTCACATACGGCATCATGGGTGTAGAGAGTGCAAAGGGGAGAAGAATTAAGTGAAAGGAGAAATGAATGACAAGACAGAGTATAAGTCCAAAGTAGAGTTGAGAAAATTGTAGATCGGGGAGTGTAATAATTACACTGTAATAATTATTATTGTAACTAAAAAAACTAAATAATATAAAAATCAAAAAAATTATCATCATCAAGATTAATAAAAAGTAGACTCATTAAGACGAAACTTTCGAATATCGGTTTACTATTGGTTTAATGTATGCATCTTGTATATATTTGTGCCGTATAATAAATATCAGTGAAGTATAATTAATTTTGACATATTTTTTTTTTTTAATTTGCCTTTGTTCGCACAAATATTTTGACATTATAAATAATTATTTTAAATTCTATACGACACGAGGTTTTTTTGGTTTATTAAAAGTAATTTATTTTTTGTTTACATATTTTCAAATGATATATTATTAATAATTTTTACCATCAACAGTTCTTTATAATTTGAGAAAAATATGCAACTCAGTATCTTATTTATTTTTTGATAATTATTTTTTGATTTGAATGGTATCAACAATATTTTCTTTTATATTCTAGCTTCAAATAGTGTGTCACATAAGGATTTTGATTGTACTATTGGTTTATGAATCTATAATTTCAATTTTTTTTAATGTAATTGAGCTATAGTAATT